TGTGTTATAATCTGTAAAACAAAAGTGAAACATACAGTTTTAAAATATATTTTTGCACTCTTGCCACTATAAACTGGTGTTTTCAATGAAAACACTAGAAGCCAACGTGATTTCATATAAATGCTTTCTAGTTAAAACTGAACAAGTTACTTATTTTTATACTTACAAACTTTGGTTTACGATCTCCATCGTCGCAATAAGACGTGGTGTGATGAGAGGCACCTTTCTTCTTGTGACTTTTACCGTCTCTTGTGCTGGTCTCGAATCGCTGACTGTAACTTTCCATGTTAAGGTGACTGTTTTCTGTGAGCTAATTAGCCGAGGTGGACGTAGAAAAATAATGAATGGGTAACACCTTAGCGCTCATGTAGCATTACCGTTCAGTCAGTCGAAAACCCAATTAGGTATATTTGAAATTTTCGCCAAAATGTCCAAAACAGAAGAAGGGTTCCAAAACGGTTTCAGTCTTAAATCCGCCCAGCTAACTAGCAAAAAGGCTACACCGTCATTTTTCTTCACTCAGACAGGCTTAACACGGCGTTAATCCAATTTATGAACTGTCACGTAACGCTTCGGGGCGCGATAACAAAAAAAAAAAGACTGACTAAGAAAGAAAGAATCGCTGCAAAGTTGATATTACCGTCTGTCAATCGAAAAAAACATATAGATAATACTGAAACGCTGGCAAATTTCCTCAGAAAATTATTGCTGCGTCGCAACACTTTTTGACAGTCCCGCGCCGTGWAACGTCACATCCGCGTGTTTAATCCAGCCAATCGTGTTCATGAAATCATGATGGCGCCTTCCTATTGGTGCAGCTACGTTTATTTACAACTGAAAAGCTATTTCATTGGTTGTGGTGAGCTGTCAATCCGACAAAGTAAATTTCAGGGATTTTGTATCATTTTTTCCAAGAGTGTCCCAGTGCAACGGTTTTAACCGTGCTCTTTTATTTGAAAAAAAGAAAACAGTTTTGTTTTGTTTTTAGAATAAAGACTTAAAACAATGTATGCATTATAGTATCTATTTTATTCACTCTAGCAATACAATGTAAAAACCAATATAATCATAAATGAATGAAACTAGTATAATAGTTTTTGGGTTTGCTTGTATTGTTATGTATTATGCCCATTTTTATTTATTTTATTTGCAAAGTTTGCATTTGCAAACCTGTAATATCTGGAGTCATACGTTTCTGAAACAGTTATTTTTTGGGATGGAAGCTAAAAAGTTTGAAAACCACGATTTTTCATTTTTTGGTACCTTTCTCCTGTTTAGGGTCAGTACCGACCTATCCAAAGMGGTCAATGGGAGACAGTGTAGATTCAAATTTAGATGTTAGCATGGCAATAAAGACTGGTTCTGCACCACTATGCAGTCAGTTTGGGGGGTATATAATATTAAATGTATGAACACAAACAACAGTCACTGGGATGAGTCATTTTGTATTGTGGTGGGCGAAATAACCTCTTAAAGTACACTTCATTATTTCCCAATAGAAAGTGACCAGTGCTGTCTGTTATGTTAAGAAGCTTGTGCAACTTTCTACTTTCTAAACTCTGACATTGCTGCCACAACAATAAGTGAAAAACAAATGTACATTTTTCCACCACAGGCTTAGAGAAGATCTGCACAATCTGAAAYCAAACACCAAGGGACCTAATCCTCCTCAAGCAGAGTTGTGTTGTGTTATTCCATTTTCAGTCTCGTTTGTTGTGTAGGTGAACACCCAGGTTTTTTACAGTCTTCTTCACTATCCTCACTCCTTCTCCCAGGATATAAATATTCTGCTTTTATGCTACTCGTGTTATAAACCACAATCATCTCATTTGTCTTGTTTATGTTCAGAATAAGCCTATTTTTGCCACACGATGTAAAAAAACAGGCCTCCAGTCTCATCTGACACACCAGAGTCATGTGAAAACTTCTGCAAAGAACAGCAATTCAAAATGGACTGAGTGTTATAAATACAGGYTAAAAAGAAAGACTGAGTGGATCCAACTTCTGTTTCAATAATACTTCACTTTAAGAGATACTTTAAAAGAAAAAGGTTAAGTTGCACACAATGTTCTTTTCAGATAATGTTGTTTTTTGTCCTTCTCAACATCCTACTCAGTTAACATTTTAATGACCTAAATCATTCATTAAGTGCTTTGCTTTGTTACTTTTCAGTTTGTTGTAGTTTTTAACAGAAAGCTCAAACAGTAAAATCTCAAAATCCCTACATGGTCACCTGTTTTGTTTTTTACATTGTAATGTATATTTTAAAGCATTTTGTTCTGCTTAAAATACTTTTTTCTTGAAGATATTTGGAGAGAGTATTTCAATGTAAATTAAAACCTTATGAAACGTCTGTGCTTTTTTTAAATGTTATTGTGTTTTGATAGATTTGGCCATTTTACAAGTTTTTTTTTWCTTGAAACAAAACTAGTTCCTTTGATCTAAATGATGTGGGATTGCARGACTTTCGTCACACTTGTCATCAACACAGACAAAGCAAATATTGATCATTCCATATAGATTTGGGTTTTCCCTCTCTGACATCAGCTATTGGAAATGACTGTGGGAGACGTCACATGTACTAAACTGACTTCAGCAGATGAACATAACTCCACACCTTCCTGTACACTTTGTATGTGTTTGAATGAACACACACACACACACACACACACACACACACACACACACACACACACACACACACACAC